GGTAAAGATCGGGCTTTAAGCCCTTCTGGCGGGGTTCTGGTTCGCCCTCGGCCACTCCTCCGTTGTCTTCCTCGCTGCGCTCATTATTGCTGTGGGCTTTAAGGCCTTTGCGGGAGAGGTGATTAAATGTATGTGGCTTGCCTTTTGAGTCGACTCAAAATGTGGCTTGCCTCACTGGCTAGTCGTTGCTGTGGGGCTGTTTTTTATTTGAGTCGACTCAAAAACAGGCTAACCGAGCTAGTCGTTGCTGCGGGGCTGTTTTTTATTTGAGTCGACTCAAAAACAGGCTAACCGAGCTAGTCGTTGCTGCGGGGCTGTTTTTGATTTGAGTCGACTCAAAAACAGGCTAACCGAGCTAGTCGTTGCTGCGGGGCTGTTTTTGATTTGAGTCGACTCAAAAACAGGCTAACCGAGCTAGCCGTTGCTGCGGGGCTGTTTTTGATTTGAGTCGACTCAAAAACAGGCTAACCGAGCTAGCCGTTGCTGCGGGGCTGTTTTTGATTTGAGTCGACTCAAAAACAGGCTAACCGAGCTAGCCGTTGCTGCGGGGCTGTTTTTGATTTGAGTCGACTCAAAAACAGGCTAACCGAGCTAGCCGTTGCTGCGGGGCTGTTTTTGATTTGAGTCGACTCAAAAACAGGCTAACCGAGCTAGCCGTTGCTGCGGGGCTGTTTTTGATTTGAGTCGACTCAAAAACAGGCTAACCGAGCTAGCCGTTGCTGCGGGGCTGTTTTTGATTTGAGTCGACTCAAAAACAGGCTAACCGAGCTCGTCGTTGCTGTGGGGCTGTTTTTGATTTGAGTCGACTCAAAAACAGGCTAACCGAGCTAGCCGTTGCTGTGGGGCTTCTGCGGGAGAGGTACCCAGCTGAATCTCAATCCAACAATATGACCTCATTTCTGTAAAAGTATATGTGCAATTTTTGTGTGAATATGTACGTTTGTACAGTATGTGTGTACATGTATAGTGTGATTGGGTGTACCATATCTACACCCACACCAGGTGGAATCGGAGGAGTCACAGCTGCATGTGATTCTCGGCCTTGTGGGTGCGCTCGTCTCGAGCCTCTTCCTTCTGCTTATAGGAGCCATCAATCTCCTCGTTTTGATCCACCTCGTTAAGGTACATGTCCAGTTTTGAGACGTCTCAGAACTAGTATTAGTTCACCATAACTTATTTTTAACCCTCTTCCTGGCGCTTTTTGTCGCAAACCACCCTGTTGGAGTGCACTTCTTCAACCCCTCTTCACCCTACTCCACCCCTCTCCACCACTCTCCACCCTGCTCCACCGCTCTCCACGCCTCCAGGTGTTCCGTGCAATGCGCAAGGGCACAGCCAGAGAAACAGACTTAGAGGACCTGACATTACAAGGGGGGCTGTTCACCCGCTGCCTGGGACGGGTAGCAGCGCTGATAAAGCACCCGCCCCAGATGTACCTGCTGGGGTTCCTCTTTGGGCTCGGCTTTGACACGGCCACGGAGGTGGCTCTGCTCTTCATGGCTGCTGGCGCTGCTTCCTCTGGCCTCCCTTGGTTTGCGATCCTCTGCCTTCCGGTCATCTTTGCTGCTGGTACGCCCACTCTGCCCTGCCTGTATCCCACTGCCCTGCCTTCATCCCACAGCCACGGAGGTGGCTCTGCTCTTCATGGCTGCTGGCGTTGCCTCCTCCGGCCTCCCTTGGTTCGCCATTCTCTGCCTGCCCGTCATCTTTGCTGCCGGTTTTTGAGAATTTTCAAGAACTGGTGCTGCCTACGAATATTCGCCTCTGCATTACCCACCTCCCACCGTTCATTCACGAACTTCGCCCACAGCTGGGCCTTCTCGGTCCGGCATGTTCTGAACCGTGCATTACCTCTCCCCACCACTCCCCATCCTCCTATTCCCCTCCTGCTCTCCTCCTCCCCCCCTCCCAGGCATGACTCTACTGGACACCATAGGCGGATCATTCATGAGCTTCGCCTATAGCTGGGCCTTCTCCTTCCCTTAATCTGCATGTTCTTATCCCTGCATTACCTCGTTTGTTTTTTGAGAATTCTCAGAAAACATATTCTCCTTCCCTTGATCTGCATGTTCTCAACCCTGCATTACCTCTACTACCCCCCTTCCACGCATTACCTCTCCCCCTCCCCTCCAGGCATGACCCTATTAGACACCATAGACGGATCGTTCATGAACTTTGCCTACAGCTGGGCCTTCTCCTTCCCGCTGAGAAAGCTCTTCTTCAATATTGTCATCACCGGCTTGTCCGTTATGGTGGCGCTGCTTATAGGGGGGATAGAGCTTCTGCAGGTAAGCTTGAGCTGACAATACAGCTAGAACACACCACACCAGCAATGCGTCTTAGTGGAGGTGCTAATAAAGGGGACAGGCCATCCTCATCCCTCCTCAAGAGCGTCTGGTTCAGTCAAAAAGCCAGCCTTATGCACGAGATTGCATTGAGTGTGAAGACGAGCTATGAGACGGATTCTCGTAGCTCCCCTTCTCTTCATCCCTCCTTATGCTCGAGATTGCTTTGAGTGTGAAGGGTTATGAGGCGCCTCAAAACTCGTCTCACGTTGCAATATGACAATACTTATATGGGGGATAAATCTCTTCTTGCACCACTTGCATGCGTATTGGCTAGGGGCAAGGAGGGGGGTACTTTGTCTGCATGCTACCCATGTTTTGTTTTCTGAGCCTCAAACAGCAGGTTGCTAACATGAAGCTTATTGACGGTCGATAGTGACGGTCGCAGCCCACCTGTCCCTTGTCATCCTCATCCCTCCTCGACAGTGCATGCTACCCATGTTTTTTTAGAATTCTCAAAATCTCATACCATTATCGTCATCTAGTTTTCCTCGTCCCATTTTTTCATCCCATTTTCCTCGTCCCATTTTCCTCGTCCCATATTCCTCGTCCCATTTGTCGCATCCAAACTCATTTTTCACCATACCCCACCCTTTTACTTCCCATGTCAACTGGGCCCACTTGCGCCTTCTTGTTCCTTGCCTCTTTCTTTTGTGTTGACTCGAAATATGCCGTGTGCCATTGTAACGAGGTGACTTTTGACTCGACTCAAAATGTGTCGTGTGCCAATGTAACGAGGTGACTAATGACTCAACTCAAAATGTGTTGTGTGCCATTGTAACGAGGTGGCAATTGGTCCCACTTGCGCCTCCTTGCTCCTTGCCTCTTCCTTTTGTCCTTCATCCTCTTCTGTCTCTCCTCTTCGTCATCTCTAGCTGCTCCATGTCTTGCTCTCCTCGCTCCTCTCCTTTCCTCATCACCCTGTCCTTTCCCAATCCCTTTCTCCCATCCTTTCTCCCATCCTCGCTCCTATCCCCACTCCCGTCCCCGCTCCACCCCACCCCCATTTCCTCTCCTTCCTCCTTCCTCTCACCCTCCTTTCATCCTAGGTGGCAGCTGGTGATTGAAAAGGCAGGATAGGAAGGGCAACGACGGGACTTAATCATGTGCATGTAAGGGAAGGGGAGGCGGCACTTTTTACTCGCACCACTCCTCGTCTCATCCCATTCAGTCCCCTGTCTTTTTGTCACCTGCCATCCCTCCCTCCCTCCACCAATGGTGGCAGTTGGTGATCGAAAAGGCAGGATGGGAGGGGCAACCGTGGGACTCAATCGCAGGAATGGATCTCAACATTCTTGGATTCGTTATAGTGGGCCTCTTTTTCCTTACATGGATGATTGCGCTCGCCATATGGCACTCCATGCAATATGAGACTTCAGCTGACATCTCTTAATGCTGTTGCTTTATAGCCCATTGTTTCACCTTTGCACATCAACGTCGCTGAGACTACAGGCAGGAATAATGCCTGAAGATGAATGTGGAGTTATGGAATAGAATACCATATTAATGAGCACTACACTTAAAATTATCCTGGTACACTGAAAGGATGTACAGATGGTCTGGTAAAAGCCACCCTATTACCTGTAAAATGTCTGTCAAGTGCTCGACATCTGTATTTGATGAAGTTCTAACAGGAGTTATACGGTAATTGTGGTGTGGAGTCCAACTCACGTCCATGCGGCTTTAGCAGAGAAATCGTCTGAAGGGCCAAGCAAGGTAGGGCAGGAAGGGAATGAAGGGCAGGAAGGGAAAGAAGGGCAAGAAGGGCAAGAAGGGAAAGAAGGGCAAGAAGGGAACGAAGGGCAAGAAGGGAAGGAAGGGCAAGAAGGGAAAGAAGGGCAAGAAGGGAAGGAAGGGCAGGAAGGGCAGGAAGGGCAGGAAGGGGAGGAAGGGCAGAAAGACTTTTGAACAGGAGACGAGGTGACTTTTGAGTCAACTCAAAAGGAAGGAAAGAGGGTGTATGAGGAGACAAGGAATGGGTGTGAGAGCACCCATTCACTCACTTACTCTCACTCACCAACTCACTCATCCACTCACTCACCCACCCACTCACCCACTCACTCACCCACTCACTCACCCACTCACCCACCCACTCACCCACCCACTCACTCACCCACTCACTCACTCACCCACTCACCCACTCACTCACCCACTCACTCACCCACTAACTCACCCGCTCACTCACTCACTCACTCACCCACTCACTCACCCACTCACTCACTCACTCACTCACTCACCCACTCACTCACCCACTCACTCACCCACTCACTCACCCACTCACTCACCCACCCACTCACCCACTCACTCACCCACTCACTCACCCACTCACTCACCCACCCACTCACCCACGGCAGGAGTATCCGCGTTCATGAGCAGCACTTGAGCTGTTCTCACGCTTTGCGGTCGCCACGCCCACAGCAGCAGCCGCCACGCGTCCGGCACGGCCCCGACCACCCGCCACCCCATCTCGCACTACTCAAACCCAGGGTCAATCAGGAGCACCAGACCCACCCACTCACTCACTCACTCACCCACGGCGGGAGTATCAGCATTCATGAGCAGCACTTGCGCTGTCCTCACACTCTGAGGTCGCCACGCCCACAGCAGCAGCCGCCACGCGTCAAGCACGGCCCCGACCCGCCACCCCATCTCGCACTATTCAAACCCAGGGTCTAGCAGGAAGCAGGCAAGCACCAGACCCACCCACTCACTCACCCACTCGCTCACCCAATCACTCACCCACTCACTCACCCACTCGCTCACCCAATCACTCACCCACTCACTCACCCACTCACCCACCCACTCACTCACCCACTCACTCACTCACCCACTCGCTCACTCAATCACTCACCCACTCACTCACCCACTCACTCACCCACTCACTCACCCACTCACTCACTCACCCACTCAATCACTCACCCACAGCAGGAGTATCGGCGTTCATAAGTAAGACTTGAGCCGTCCTCACACTCTGCGGCCGCCACGCCCACAGCAGCAGCCGCCACGCGTCCGGCACGGCCCCGACCCGCCACCCCATCTCGCACCCGTCCGATATGCTCGGCACACAGCGCACCACGCGTAACCGCGTTACCACGTTCCGTAACCTTGGAGAAAGCCAGTGCATGCGCGTGGTGTTGATCCACGCGGAGGGGGAGGAGGGGAGCGAGCGGCGGAGCGAGCGGCGGAAGCGATCAAACATGTGCAGAGCTGTGTGGTCTGGATCGGTGTGCCGAACGTACATCCAGGCTCGGAAGTACCGCGCCGAACGGACGCAGGGCCGGGAGGGAGGTTCGGTGGTGGAGGTGGGGGAGGAGGAGGGAGGGAAGGGCGTTAGTAGCGTGCCTTGGGGTTGGGTTACATCGGTGGTGTCTTTTTTGGTAGAAGAAGACGAGGAGGAGGAGGAGGAGGAGGAGGAGGAGGAGGAGGAGGAGGAGGAGGAGGAGGAGGAGGAGGAGGAGGAGGAGGAGGAGGAGGAGGAGGAGGAGGAGGAGGAGGAGGAGGAGGAGGAGGAGGAGGAAGTGGAGGAGGAAGAGAGGTTAGAAGCCGAAGCGGAAGCAGAAGAGGAAGAAGAAGAGGGCAATGGTGGGAAGAAGCATTTTTCCTCCACAACAACTGACAGCCCATCAAACAGACTCGACTCCAGAACCGTTTTCCCCGCCCCTCCTGTCCGCTTGCTCCTGTCCCGGCCCCCTCTCAGCCCTGTCCCCTCCTCCACCTCTCCCTCACTCCCCCCCATCCACCACCTGCTATCCTCCTCCCCTTTCCCCCCACCACTCTCCCCACCTGCCCCAGAAAACACCCGCATTTCCAATTCCACCAGCAGAAACGGATGGTATAGCCTCATTAAAAAGGGCAATTCCGGGGCTCGCCTTCCTGGATGCTTCTCGCCGTGTTTGACCACTCCGTGCCGAATCATGAACAGTTGTCCGTCCCGTAGCGACGCCGCCCGCCACAGATCCTCCACCCGATTCACCCGCAGGCTCGGGTACTCCTCGGCTCGGCCGAACCACAGCTCTGGCTCTCCCCGAACCTCAGCCTCGGCAGCACCACCAGTACTACCATTCCTACTGCCAGAGAGAACTACTCTCTTCCCACCGGCACCAGCAGCAGCAGCACCACCAGCACCAGCGGCAGCAGCGGCGGCGGCAGCTTTGGCATTTTCTGCCAAAGCATCTGGCAGCGTTGCAAGTCGGTCCACAAATGGAATAAACCGGGCGGCAACAGCCATCCAGGGGATCGAGATCTGGCACAACGTCCTGTCTCTGACGTGGCAGACAGCTGGCGGCGCGGGCGGCAGGGGTTGCCAGGCTGGCAGGTTGCGCATCTGGAAACGGTTGAAACCGACCAATGAGAAGAAGGCGAGGACGAGCTGAGCCTGCTCTGATTGGCCCTTGGGAATGAGAAAACGGGCGGGGGGTGTGGCACTACTGCTGCTGCTGCTGCTGCTGCTGCTGCTGCTGTCAAGGCTAGTACCCTTTCCACCTGCCTCGACTCCCCCTTTCGCTGCACTACCCTCCTCCCCACCACCAGCAGCAGCATTGCCTGCAACACCTGCACCGTTCACCTCCCACCCTTCGCCATCCCCCTCCTGGCCCTCAGTTGTCCACACGTGGCCCCTTAAAGTGGCGTCCACGAACCCTCTACACTGCTGCCCCGTTATAACCCCCCACTTGTGCCGCAGAAACACCTGATTGGCTGAACACACGTCAGCGCCGCTCTGCCGCGCAAAGTAGATCAAATCCCGCGCTCCCACGCTGGAAGACGGGTGGTGGTATACCACTATAGACTGCGGCACTAAGTAAGACTTGTAGTTAAAATACCTTGTTGTAAGCGCCAAATCCAGATCCTGCCGGGTATACCCGACCCTAGGGTCGAACAGAACAGCTTCGGAAAGAAACGACTGCCGAACCAACATGCAGTGATCCTCCACGCCTACCGGGGATTCTCGAGGGTCCAGCAGGCTCGGATCTCTGGTGCCTGCCACGTGGACGTCTTCTATTGGTTGTGGGTAGAGCTTCCCGTCGTTACTGTAGTCGTCAAATAGCATATCTGAGGCGAATGCTGCATGGGCTTTAAGGCCCTCTTGCTTCGCCACTGATCCGCTGCCCATGCTCCCACCCCCCGCACCACCACTACTGCTACTAGCAACACCAGCAGTCACACCAGCAGCGCCAGCACTAGTGGCCGCACCTGCAGCAGCACTGGCACCGGGCCTACCACCCAGGTTCGTCGCACCACCATACGTCACCGCCCCTCTCCCCCTTCCCCCCACCCCTCCCCCTACGCCCGCCCCTCTGCTGAGCCCGCCTGCCCTGAGCTTCGCCCCCCCGCCCCCCGCATCCCCCCCCCACTCCCAAATGAACGGCAGGAAAATCACCCCCTCAGGATGCTTCTCAGCGAATCTAAACAGATGCTGCAGCCAGTTGGGTCGATACGGGAACACGTCAGAGAACACAAAGAGCGCGTACTTAGTGCGGATTAACTCTGATGATGCGTTTCGCATTAGGTATCCGCTCGCATATTCGTCCTCCATCTCCTTAACGAGTATTCTCCGCCCTCCCTGTACTTCCTCCCCCTTCCCCCCGCCCCTTCCCCCTGCCCTTCCGCCTCCGCCTATTCCCTCCGCCACCATCCCCCCAAACCAGTTCAGGATCTGCAAACCCTAATCCGCCGCCCGCTGCCCCCCCCGCGCTTGCGCCTCCCCCTCCGCCGCCCCAGCCACCCCACATCCCCCGTGCGCTCTCCGCTTGCCTGCGCCTGACGTGCGCGCGCGTGCGCGCGTCCATTGCGCCGGGGATCATGTAGATCACTGGGCAGGGGGGAGTGGTCGCGAGAATCGCGTCCAGCTGCGCGGCTGCTGTTCCGAAAGAGTGCTTTGAGCTGATCACTATAGTCACATCGCGAGCCAGCCGCTCGTTTAGAGCACGGTCCACGTCAGCATTCCCCTGTAAGCCCTGGTTCCAGGAGCCAATCAGAGACGCGGGCAAGGTTCTCGCGCTGGCGGCTCCTAATTGGTCCAGTTTTCCGCCATCCTCCCCCGCTACCACCCCTTCTCCCCCATCATACCCCAACCGCATCAGCCTCCGCCGTTCCGCCAGGCTCTCTCCCCCGCTGCTGCTCCCCGCGCTCCCCGCTCCGCCTCCGCCCTTTCCGCCACCGATCAGGCTTCCCCTAATCCCCTGATCGGGGGAAGACCACAGCAGCTGCTGCGCGGATTCTCCCAAATCCCGCCAGCGTGATTTGCGCATTGCCGCAGCGAGCAGATCGTCAATCGCCGCCGCGGCTCGACTCGAATCCCCCCAAAACGCCTTTCCCGCCGATTCCCCCGCGGATCCCCCCCCGCTTCCACTGCTTCCGCGGCTGCTGCCGAACCTAATGGAGAATTCTCCAGCTGCCGAACCAAAACCTGAACCTCCTTCCCCATTCCCCGTCGCGCCGCCATCTAATCTTATGTCGAGCACGGAATACAAAAACACACACGCGACGCCGACCGCGAGGAAGAGAAGAAGGCGGCTCGAGGAGAGCGCGGAGGAGAGGAAGAGGCACATCCGGGGGAGGTGGCGTCTGGGGCGGGTCTTACTGGGGCTATGGAGCGGATGGTCTACGTGGGGGGACTGGTGGCGGGGGGACTGGCGGTTTTGATGATGATGATAATGGAGCTTGACGCTCGGCCGGCCATCCATCGCTGCCGTTGGATCTTGCAGGCGGTTAAATCCGGCCGTCCATTGTGACGGAGGATTTGTGAGGAGTCAACCGAAGCCGTCCATTGCGATGGACGGAGTGAAGGAGTTAGTTAACGGAGAAGCATGATTGGTCGACACGCTTTATGTGTCGAGACCTTGAAATCCAATACTATCGACCTGGCTGGTGAAATCGACTGTGCGATCGCGACACGGCCGAATTGCCACTTGTCCAACCGCGATTGACTTCAGAGCATCCGGGAACGACGAATTCGAATTAGTCACGATCAACAGTAGGCAGCCAATTATTGAACTGCCACTACCTACTAATGCTCGAGCATCCTATGATAAGTCAACTTACAAGTGTTTCCTTCACCACCTAATTATCATAGGCCTACCAATCAAGATCGGCTGAATGACGGCCTAGTTTGACCCTGTGGTTACCACACTCTCCCACCTGACCACTCGCCCTTCGCGAACGGCCAAGTGCAGCAGCATTATGCGAAGGGATCGGATAATTTCGACAGCGAATCGCCAATCGATCTAATTTCATGCGCCACAGAGTTCTGCTCGCATAGGTGTTTCCAGCTACCTCACACCATCGCAGAGCCCATTGCCAGCCAACCTCGATGTTGTCCCTGGTTTCGTGGTGGGGGATTGCTGTGATGTGGCAGTGGTTTCGCGCAGATTCAACAGGCAAAGGTTATCCACAGTAACGGAGAGTGGAAGCACCAAGACGAAGCGCAGGTGTTCACAATACGCGGTAGAGTGAATTGACCGTGATTCTGTTACGTGTATCGATACACTTCGAGCTGCAATGAAAGATCGCTCTATTCACCCCAGGTTGATCACTCGCCCCTTATGTCAATCAATGAGCAATCAGTGGATAAGAAAGCATGTCAAGCCTTACCTCGTTGGGTGGTTTGGTTGTACATCAAGAACAAATATCAACCTACCTAATGCCTTCCCATCTTATTAAGATCCTGAGCTGTCCACCCAATCATCCCAAACCCTCGAGTCGGGCTCAAAGGAGGGCTTGCGGGTGGAGTGGAGAACGGGCTACGATTGGCCTGGTGCTGCTGCTGGAAATGACTGCCCGTGTTGTTGCCCATGTTCGCCGGTTGATGTGCATATGCGCCGACGTTGCCAGTGCTTGGCTGCTGATGGTGGTTGTAAACGTTGGTGCCCATGCTCTGGCTGAGGGGAGGGCCGACTTGGTTGCCTGCTGCTGCATTCATTGGTCGCCCCCGCGGCTGGCGTGTTGACCTGCAAGCACATACACACACATGCATATCCACGTAAGCACATGGTTGCTCAGGCCAGCCTTAACTCTGAAATTAATGTATCAGGTGATTCAGTGTGGCAAGCATGCAGACTCTTGGAGTGGCATAAACACTTCCACTTTGCATTTGCAACTCAGCTCAAAAACAGGCTTACATGGAGAGGCAAGACTCGTTGGAGGAAATGCTCCCGTTCCTCAGCTTGGACAAGTTCACGTCTTGCTGCAACACACACACACGATGAGCAAACAAACGTCAAGAAAACTCGGTGTAATCGACATACATGCTCCACATGCCATAACCAAAGCTGCTGTTCACACCCTGCACCACACCCCGATCTCCCTCCCCCTTTTTCCAACAATACAACCACCCTCATACTACTGGCAAAGCACCTGTGCTCCCCCTTTCCTCCCCCGCGCACAGAACAAAAGCATCACCAACGCACCTCGGATCGCATGCTGGACGTGCGGCTGCAGGAGCGGCTCTGAGAGCTGCCCGTGCCGCTCACAATGCTCCCAGCCACTGCTGCAATGGCCGCTGCAGTCGCTGCATTCATGTTCGTGCTGCCATGGCTGACGTGGCTGCCATTGGTGCCATGCATTCCACCGCTGCCAACCGCGTTGAATCCCGCCATTCCCATTCCTGCCATCCCCATGCCTCCTCCCATGCTGCTGCTCATGCCATGCAGCCCACCACCAGCACCTGCCGAACCTCCTCTGGAGGCTACCGAGCCTGCTCGGGACGCCGAGCCTGCAGCACTGGATGAACCAGCCAAGGAGGAGCCACTGGTGGTGCTGGTGACCGGACCATTGTGCTGATTACTATTTCCGGCAACACTACCATTTATAGCAATGCCGGCGCTGTTCTGCACATGCTGCTGCTGCTGCTGGAAGCTCTGGCGAGCTATCTTCCCATCTGCACCTTTGCTTGGGCCGACAAAGAAAGACTGGCCAACAGCCGCAGAGCCAGCAGTAGCACCAGAGCCAGCACCAGAGCCAGCAGCACTGCTGCGTGTGGGTGTGGTGGGCCGAGACCCTCCTCCTCGTGCTCCTGCTGACCCCACCACGGCCTGCCCTGCTGCTGCTGCTGCTGCTGCTGACGGCGTTGCTGGCACTGCTGGCACTGCTGCTGCATTGCCCTTTCCAGCGGCGCCACCACCGGCCGCCGCCGCAGCAGCAGCAGCAGCAGCGCGCTTCTGCCTCCGGAGCGCCTGCTGCTGCAGCTGGTGTTGCTTGAGCTGCTGGTAGAACTGCTGCTGCAGGTAGTGCGGACTCTTCTTCATCTGCGCCTCCATGTGCGCCTGCAGCCGCTCCTGCGCCCCTGCCTCCCTCTCCCTCTCGCCCTCCTCCTTCCCCTTCTCTTTCTCCTCCTGGGACTTCAGCGCCCCTTGACCCTGTGACTTCTGCCCTCCCGCCTGCCCCTGCTGTTTCACTGCTGTGGTTTTGGCAGCAGCAGCGGGGCTCTTGAGGCTGCCTGGCCGCTGCACCAGCACCTGACTCGGCCTGCCCTGCCCTGCCTTCTGACCTGCCTTCACCTGCAGCTGCTGCCCCGGCTTCCTGTGCTGCTGCTGCTGTTGTGAGCGTGGGGATTTCAGCTGCTGCTGTTGCGCCCGGGGGGATTTGAGCTGCTGCTGCTGCTGCTGCCGTTGAATGACGTGGCGGATGGGGATTGGCTTGGGGGAGGTGGCGGCGGGAGAGATGGGGCTCATAGGGGAGGAAGGGGAGGGGCGAGTGGGGGAGAGCGGGGAGAGCGGGGAGAGGGGTGTGCCACGGGACCCGATTCCCCTGGTTGGGGAGAGACAAGGAGTGGTTGGATTGGAGGAGTGAGGAGCAGTAACAACAGCATTACCTGCACCAGCATCACCAGCACTACCAGCAGTGGCATCAGCACCAGCGGCTGCAGAAGCAGCATCGGCAGCAGCGCCAGGCATGGCTACATGCGGAGGGGGGAGCATTTCCCCCGACATCTGCAACTGGGACATCTGCAGGGGGGACATCTGCAGGCCGTTTTTCCCGGACCCGCCTGCTTCGGAACGAAGGGAGCCACGGGCGGACGAGGGCGAGGGCGGGCGCTGCAGCGGGTTGTTATTATGCACAGCGGAACGCGTGGGATGCGAGGGATGCGGAGCACCTGGGGAGGGCAGCGAGGGCAGGAGGTGGAGGGAGTTGTGGACAGACGCGCAGGGGGAGGGGATGGCGGAGGAGAGGAGGGCGCTAGATCGCTCCTCTGAGATGGCGTCTAGAGCCATGCCCGGTGGTAACCGGCCCGTAACCGCCGCGTAATTGAGCGCACGGATGATCGGATCAATCTTGCTGGGGGAGGAGGAGGAGGGGGGTGCACCGTTGTTGCCACCGCTGCTGCCACCACGCCAGGTGTTGGGTGTGTTGGGAGTGCCTGGGGTGTTTGGGGTGTTTGGGGATCCGCAGTTGCTGCTGGGGCTGCCGCTGCTTCCGGTCCTTCGGGGGCTGTTGAAGGCTTTCGGGGCGGTTCTGGGGCTGGCCAAGGGGCTGACAGGGGTGGAGAACGGTGCTCTGCTGTGGGGTCCGATGGGGGAGGTGGTTCCGTTGGTGGGTCGGAGGATGGGGCTGGTGGGTTTGAGGAGGGTGGCAGGGTCGAAGGAGGATGGGATGGGCAGAGGGGGAGGGCTGCTGCGGCCATTCCACCAGTGTGAAGAGTTCCCTGCGCCCACCGCAGCTGCTGCTGCTGCTGCTGCCGCTGCAGCTGAGCCTCCTGCTGATGCTGACGCTGATGCTGAAACTCCTACCTCCTTGGGTCTTCCTGTCTTTCCCAGAATCCCACCACCATGCCCACCGTAAGCCGAAGCTACAGCAGCACTGGCAGCACTAGCAGCACTAGCAGCACTTCCAATATTGGCATGCGCAAACACTTCCCCTCTTTCTCTCCCACTGCCATCCTCGCTCCCCTCCCTCACCTCCTTCCTCTTACCGCCACCTCCGCTACTATCACACGAAACCTCTCTCCGATGCCCGCCTCCTTGCATGCTCTCTACCCCGCAGCCATCATGACTCCATTCCCCCCTTCCCCTTCCCCTTTCCCCGCCACCACCATCCACACCCTCACTCAGATTCTCCCAAGGCTCTGCGCTTTGCTTGTGCCAGCCCTCTATGCCAACAGCACCGTCCGACATGGTCCGTGCAGGGCCCTTTTTCCCTGCACCCGCGCCCAGAGAAAGCTCTTGTTGCTGCTGGTGATGGTGATGATTCCGCGTGGTACCGCTGCTGCCGGTAATGCTCTTTTTAGCCCTCTGAAACAGCCTCTGGAACATGCTCTGCTTGCTGTGGTGGTGCTGCTGCTCGTGCTGCTGCTGCAGCTGTTGATGTTGGTTGCCGTGCTGCTCATGCTTGTGCTTATTGTGACTCTGACTGTGGCCGCCCTCGTTAAACTCACCATGGCTGTAGAAGCGCCTGTGGCTGCTGCTGCTGTTCTCAGTCGTTTCACCTCCGTTATAGTCACAGGCGCCGCCTAGAGTCACCAGCATTGCGTCACTCACGTCAGCAGACACGGAGCGGCGAAGCCTGCTGCTGCTGTTGCTGACCATGCCAGCGTCAGTCACAACTTTCTCTTGCCCATTCCCAATTTGACGCTGCTGCTGCGCCTGCCATTCCTGCTGCTGCTGCTGCTGCTGCTGCTGCTGCTGCTGGAGTTGCTGCTGCTGCTGCTGCTGGAGTTGCTGTTCCATCCCGTGCGGCATAAGCATGCCTTCCCCGCGCCTCTCCCTCTCCACCTCTTCCCCGCGCCTCTCCCTCTCCACCTCTTCCCCGCGCCTCTCCCTCTCCACCACTTCCGCACCCTTCCCCCGCAGCACGTTCTGCCGCTGAAGCGACGGGCCCTCACCTTTCCCCTCCCCTTCCGCCGCATGGCCGCGAGATGACTCCAACGCAGCGGCGAGAGGCGTTGCGCTGGGGTTCCGCCTTCCCCCCAGACTAGCGCTGCGACACAGGGACTCCCGCGATCCCCGCACATCCGCCCCCTCTTCTCCGCCTTCTTCCCCGCTTCCTCCGCCCGCGGCCGCCCGGCAGCTGCTTCCGAACGACGCCGATCGGCGCAACGCACCCCCTCCGCCGCCCCCCTTCACGCCCTCCATCTCAATCTCCTCGTCGATATCATCGCCAAATATATTATCCCCCGTCTCCACCGTCTCCGCGCGCGTCAAGGGTAAATTACCCTCTTCATCCTCCTCCTCCGCTTCCCCGTCCCCGCCTGTGGCACTCCGCCTTCCGCCGCCGCCGCTGCTGCTTCTGCTGCCGGCGCTGCGGTCGCTGCGCTGCCGTGCGAGGGGCACGGAGGGGCCGTCGTCGTCTCGGAGCTCAGTGAACGTGTCGTCCACATCCCCCTCCCCCTCCCCCTCCCCCTCCCCCTCCTCCCCGTCCTCAGCCTCCCCCTCTCCCTCCTCGCCCTTCTCCTCCTCCCCATCCTCTTCCTCCTTCGCCGCCGTATGCTCCCACTCCTCCGCTTCCTTCCCTTTCTCTGGCTGAACCTCCGTTTTATCGCCCCCCTGCGCGCAATCCCCCTCTTCCGCACACTCTTCGACTTGCTGCTGCTGCTTCTCCTCCTCCTCTTCCTCATGGTTTTGCTTCTTGCCACGCGTCACTTCCTCATTGGCAGCAACGGCCGCCTCTGGACTCCCTAAACCAGACCCCGCGGATTTATTCGAAGCTGCCCGCCCTCTCAGTGCAGTTCCGGAGCTGCCCGGGCTGCCCGAAAGAAAACCAAGCGGACGCCGGGACATAGGGCTAGTCGAAGACGCTCGGGCCGTTCGGGGAGATCTAGGTGTATAAAGCGTATCGAGTGTACCGCCTACACCAGCCCTGTGCCTATCAGATACGCTCCTGGAAAGTCGTCCCCTCGTCCCGCTGCTTCCGCCACTCGGGGAAGCGACCCGCGGAGAAGACGCGCGGAAAGAGCCCGTGCGCGGAAAGGTACCTCTGCTGCTGTTTCCCCCGGGGGAAGCAGAGCGAGGGGAAGCAGCGCGCGGGGAAGCAGCGCGGGGAGAGGCGGCAAGACGGTTCGTGGCGGAGGAAGAGCCAAAACCGGTCATTGCGCCGCTGCTGCTGCTCCGCCGCAACACGGGACTTGCGCTGCGACCCCTTGCCGCGCCTGCCGCCTTCCCGCCGCTGCCCGCGCTGCTGGCGCGGGGCAGAGCACCACCAGCCGCAGCAGCGGCAGCAACAGCAGTCTTAGTCTTAGCACCAGACGCAGTACCAGAGCTGTTGTTACTTCCACGTGCAGTCGTGGTGTCTTTCCTTGCGCCTGCCTCTCTCGCTTCCACCAGCGCCTTCAGCTGCTCTATCTCCCCATCCCCACTGCGCGCCGACGTGCGGCTCGTACGACCCTCCTCACCTCCCTCGTTCGTCTCGTCCTTCTCCTCTTCTCTCCTTCCTTCGTCCTCATCAGACACATTAGCTTCCATGCTTTCTTCCTCGTACTCAGCCCCGTTCCTCTCCCTTTCCTCTTCTTCCACCCCGCCTTCCACCTCCTCCCCCTCGCGGCCGCTCACGGCCCCACTCCCGCCCACGCTCCCGCCTCTGCTCAGGCTCCCCACTCTTCCCCATGATCTTCCGCTTCCCCATGACCTTCCGCCAACACTCTTCTCCCCCGCAATCTCAGCTCCGCCTCCGCCTTCCGCCGTCCCCGAAGTCCCCAGCCCGCTCTGGCTCTTCAACTCCTCGCCGTCCATCGAATCCCAGGGCAGCGGGATGCCCTTGATTGGCGGCGGCCGTTTCTTATCCAGGCTCGGCCGACCCTGGTAGACCGGAGGCCGGCTCGGCGTCGTAGGTTCGGCAGTCACGAGCTGTTCCATCTTAATCGTTTTCGCGACGCCGTTCGCGTCCGTTACAGTCAGCCCCGTTACAATCATGTTGCCAGTCCGAAGCTTCGCATTCGGGCTGACACCAGGCCCGACAGGCGAATTCCCCGGAGCGCCGTCATTCGCGCTTCGAGGAGCAACCGACGATCCCCGACCCAACTGCAGGTGGTTCGGCAGAGGTCCGGAGAGAGGGCGAGAGAGGGAGAGCAGGAGCGAGAGCGGAGTGCCCGAGGAGCGTCTTAATCCGTCTTCTTCGTCTCCTAGTTGCAACACGCCGAATTCACTGGCGTTAATGCTGTGACGCGGTGAGGAGAGAGTGTGCACCCACTGCTCGCCACTCACCCACACCGGGTTACCACCACCACTCGCCTTCGCTCCGGTACCCTCGCCTTCGCCGTTGTTCGCTACGTACGCGGCGGCCATGTGACGGGCGTAGGCCGACACCCCCTCGGCACGACCGAGGGAGACGGATCTTCTGAGGTTCGCGCCGCCCCCGCCACCGCCGCCGCCGCAGCCATTGCCGCCGTCTGGGCACGGACTGTCGGCGGCGGGCTCGATGAACGAAGCGCGGATGGACTGCGCGAGGAGCGCCGGCGTAACCGGGTCGGCCGCACGGGGAGAGCGCGGCGGGATGATTTTCAAATCGTGGTTGCTGCTGCGGAGGTGCTTCACTTCGTTGCGCAGTCGCCGCCCTTCTTCCTCTTCCTCCTGCAGCCGTCTCTTTAGTTCTGCCACCTCATTGGCCAGCTCCTCCACGTGGCCCCACACCACCGATCCGCTGCTGCTCCCGCCGCCGCCGCCGGCCGCTGGACCATCTTTCGGGTCGTTCTTGACACCAGAAGAACCTGCCTGAGCTTCCTTCTCGTTCGTGCTGCAGCAAGAGGCGACGGAAGATCCGGCGGGAATTGCGGCCATGGGGCCGAGGCCCCAGATCGGGTCGGCGTTTTCGTCGTCTTCGTCGTTGAAGTTGAGATGACGTGGATGGTGGTGGCGCTGACGTGTATCGTTGTGGTCGCAGCAGTGGTGGTGGGGCGAGTAGTGTTCGGGCGACGGGAGGTGGCAGCAGTCGTTGTTATTGCGCTCCTGCCCGCTGTCGTTAATGTTGTTCGCGAAGAGTTCGCGATGGCGATCCCCTTTCACGATGTTCCAGCGACCGCGGATTGGCGACTTGTACCGCGGAGAAATAACATCCTGTGCAACGCGGGAGACGAAACACGCGTAACGTAGACAATACAGCAGAAGAAAATAATACGCACAGAAGGATGGGTGAGTCCTAGAGTGGAATAGCTAGTCTGTACGTATTGAGAAGCCTAGTTCTCGTCCAAAGGGCATGCGGGAACAGACCCAGCTAGGAAGAACGGAAGCGTGGGGAAAGGGGGATCGAGGACAAGGAAATAGTGAGGGAGTTGACAGAAGAAAATCCTAAAGAAACACCGTTGAATCACATCGTATAGCAGATCCTTTCCACAACAATCAAGTGAATTCCACTGATTCTAAAGCTTTTTCGAATTCGAATGCTCTCACATCTCTTCGAGTCGGGTTGCAGGGCGTTCGACTCATCATCAACAGGTTTTTAAGAAGTGGTGTCACAAAGACTCACCCGGTTCGTCGACTTGGGCTGCAGAGCGCCAGCCATGGGGCTGCTTTTCCTGCCGCCAAAGTCCATCGCTTCATTTTCTACCGGCAGACTCCCGCCGAAACACGCTAAGAGCCGCTTCCCGGACTTCGGAGTCCGGTTTTCCTTCCTTCTGCTAGATGGTTCTTTTCTACCGCCTAGCGGGCTAAGATTGCCCACTGGGCTCCACATGGTGCTTCGATTGTAATGCTACGCACAAAGACGCTTGTGCACGGTGTCACTAAGAATCAACGAGCGTGTTCTAAGGTGGAATGGGATGGGATTTGTCTGGATATGAGCGCAACGCACGGTTGCATCTCGAGCTGGGTCTGGTATACTCCCAGCACTTGAAGTTTTCTTTTTTTTTTGCTCGAAGGGAAGAACTCGACTATTGTGACAAGGAATCTCAAAATGGAACTACCCAGTGTGTCAATGGCCGTGACTTCCAGCTGTGGATTCCGTTCAATTGAAGAGACGTCGCAACTACTGCTTGCTAACGTCTGCCGCCTGGACACATCTACAGAATACCAAGAAACTCTCAAACAAAGGACATCTACGGGTGGCAAGGAGATTCAAGCCAGTGAGCTCCCTGCCTTGGGAGTTCCCCGAGGTTCGAGCTTCGCCTGGCCGTTGCGCGGTTTTCGTTCCTCATTGAGGTTCGTTCGATTCGAATTTCGAGCCACACACGTAGTTCTATTCCCGAAGCGCGGTACTTCCTTTGAGTGACAAGAATGACGGAAACGATGATGCAATATCGGTTCAGTGCGTTTAAATCACTTTCAGTGCGCTGTCGAGGTTTCTATATGACACAAGAGAAGGCACAGGTGTAGTTGCGAGGGAAACTGATGCTTTTTCCATTCCGTGATGGGAGGGACATCGTGGCGGGGAGACCTTGGGATTTGGCGGTTGGGATCACCTGAATTGAGAATAGATGAGGCCCAATAGCAAAAGTCGATGAGTTGTACCTTGATGATGCAGGCGGGAATGTTCAATCAAATTTGAATTGTTGGCCGTTTCTGAGCACCAGTGACCGTTTTATTTTTCAGGTCAAGATTCCAAGGCATTTGATTCGAGCCAAGTGATTCCCGCCATGGTGTCCCTCGACAAAACATATGCTCACAAAACGTCAGCTCAATCTTCCTAGAGTTCCGTAAGTGTTTGAGTGGTCGTGCAATAATAGCCCAACTCATTTACGAAACGAAAAGCCAAGGCTTATTCGCGGATCCGCTGGACTGATTTTTGAGATCTGTAAGGAATTTTCTCGGCATTCCTTACGGAGCCCGACTACATCGCGTACAGCAACAGCCGTTGTTCGCCCGTTACTGCTAACGGGGCTTCGCCGACTTCGCGCGCACTGTTTTACCAAACCTCGCACTGCTGGCCTGGCCGTGTCAGCCTATGCTTCGGGACTAGCCCGAGCCTCGCTTCCAGCGTAGCACTAGCTACGTCGCACGCACCGCGTTACCGTTTGCATGTTTCGCGTATAAATGTTTGCTCATGCCTTCGTTCGCTCACATTTTGTACTCGTTTGACACCTTAGTGCAATCCTCGCTACTTCGATCCATTGCACCTGGTATTCAGAGCCCCTTTCTTTCGGACCGCGCATCTCCGCACCCCAGGAAATCAACTTTTGATTTTTCACTCGAAGGGACCCACGTACCTTAGCACCTAGGAGCCGCTGTCCTCGCGTTCTCTCGTAAACGCATGCAGCCACGACTGCGCCTAAACTAAGACGAGCCGACGCCCTTCGGAATGGCTGAACATATCAACGTCACGACTCTCACACAGGAGCACTTGAACGATTTGCTTCGACAAATTCGCGAGAGCGTCGAGGAAATCGCGACGCTGACGGCAGAACGCTCGTCCCTGCAAAACGACCTCACACGGGCACAATCCCAAGCACCTGGCACTCCGATTCAGCCCGCACCACATATGTGAGAGGACGTCCCCGTTATAATATTTTCTCACTATTCTATTTTTCCGTTATCCTATTCTCCCTTTTCTCCTCTTTATTTTGGTCTTTATCTCATCTCAATCGGCCAACTATTCTATTTTATAGGGCCTTCTATTTATTTCTCTTATTTCCTACTTTTCCCACCGACATACCTATTATACGGCACCGACAGCGCCGACAGTGGTGTATACGGTGTAATCTGGGCGTAATCCCAAGTGCCAATAGACTTGCGTGCTTATGCGCATTTGTGATTGTAGTATCGGGAAGGGTGTGTTCCCGAAGGTTCGTTTGTCGGAAAATATAAGTTAATATTTTCTATATGTAACTGCCTGTAGGATTGGTTACTGTAGTTATAGCATTCTCTTAGTTGGTGGTGCACCTTTCTTGTTTGTTCTTTCCTATTTGTACCCTCGCTCAATATTGAATCACTCCTTTTTTGTTGGTACAACTTCTCCCTCGCTACTCTCGTTTTCCTCAAAACCTAGCCATGGCGCCTAAGATTAATCTACTCTTTTGAGATGGTATCGAGCTAGTTTTCGATCAATGGGCCCACCGATTTTTGACCCTGTCATGGCGGCCCTCCCTCCCAACGATTTTCTGCTGCGATCGTGCTGCCAGTATGACCGTTGCGTTGAAATCCGCGACGGTCATAATCGCGTGCGCGATCGAGGAGGCGAAGGCGGAGCTCTGCTTGTCGCGCTGCCTAGTCGCCCCGTTGTACGCGGCCACGCTGCCTCGTCGCCGCTTCGTCTCGCCTCCGTTTCGGCCCTCTGTCCCGCTCGTCGCGCTCGAGCAACTATCCCCGCCCACCCTCCCCCGGGTCCCGCTGCAGCTGTCGCACTTGCTACTGTAGTGCGTGCTCCTGCTGTGGGGGGAGGTCGAAGGTGTGGCGGGCAGTGGGGGAGGTGGTGTGACGGGGTGGCTGCTGTGAGCCGCCAGCAGCACCTGCCGTTGCCCTTTCTCGCCCCATACGCGACTGTCGCTGTGGGGGGGAGGGTGAGGGAGTGGCGGGAGCGCACCCGCAGGAAACCGCCGACGCCCTCCTCTCTCCTCTCTCTCCCTGCAGCGCCGGTCGCTGTGGGGGATGGGGGGGAGTGTGAGGGGGTGGCGAGAGAGATTTTGCAGTACCAACAGCCGTCCCCCCTCCCCTCTCTCTCACTGCCGCGCTTGCAGCTGTGGGGGGGAGGGTGAGAGGGGGTGGCGGAAGTCAGCCGGGCATCTGCTGCTGACGCCCACTGCTACCGTGGCACCTCCAGCTGCCGCCCCTGCTGCCACCTGCCTCTTTTGCCTTTGCTTCTGCTGCTTGCTGCTAGGGGCCTGCAGGTGCTGCCGTCGAGCCGTTGCTGTCCTGCTGCACGTTCCAGCCACAGAGCCTGCTCCTCAGGCGACCTGCCGCCCCTACACCTGCTACTGTTTCTACCTTGGCCCAGGGTGTGCTACAGCTGGATCTGCCACCACTGCAATGGTTGTCACTGCACTTGTTTGTTGCTGCAATTTCCGCTGTGTAATCGTGATGTACCCCTTAAGGGTGCGCTAACTGCATACTCTCCTACAGCCAGTTATGGGGGCGTGTCGGAAAATATAAGTTAATATTTTCTATATGTAACTGCCTGTAGGATTGGTTACTGTAGTTATAGCATTCTCTTAGTTGGTGGTGCACCTTTCTTGTTTGTTCTTTCCTATTTGTACCCTCGCTCAATATTGAATCACTCCTTTTTTGTTGGTACAACTTCTCCCTCGCTACTCTCGTTTTCCTCAAAACCTAGCCATGGCGCCTAAGATTAATCTACTCTTTTGAGATCGTTTTATCTCGTTTATCCTTGTACTTTCCGAGTATAAATAGGCCTTGTATTCAGTTTTAGTGACAAGTTTCGATTGAGAATTCGATCCTGTGACACTTGGTAATCAGAGCCGTTCTCACTCGACAACTCTCGGCTAAGCAGCGGTCGCGGAAAAAATCGCCTCGAAAAAACCGCCGGGGGCGACCAATTCGACGCCGATTTCTGGTAAGTACCAGTTCCGCGCTTTTCGAATTAACTCCCTCGCGTGGTTTTTGAACAGGATGGGTTTGTCAAAGTTTGAAGGAAGAAAGAGGATTGAACTAGCAAGAATGAGGATACAAATAGCAAACCCTAGAAGGGTTGTACTCGCTATAGAGCACCCCACTACAGGCTAGAACAATAAGATAATATTCTGACAGGGTTCGCCGGCGACCAACGACGTTACGCAGCAGCTCTTCGCGCAAATCGCCAAGATGGAAGCGGAGATGCGAGCGACGACTGAACGGTCGCGATTGGAGAACGAGCAGATGCGAAACGAACTGCAGCGCGTTACGCGGCTCCTCTC